CCTATACTCAGTCTCTACATCCGAACTTTTGCTCTTTGCCACAGTTGAAATAACTATAAATTAAACCCTTACATAACTACAGTGTAGTTTAAAATGTATCTTTAGTAAGGCATATTCTGATAATTTTTAAAAATTTTTACACAATGTCCTTCTTATAGTTGTGACATTCTCGTAAGTTGAATGTTAAAAGGTTTTACTACTCCTTTTGCTTAAATAAAGATTACATACGTCAATGGCTATCTCATAGAAACTCATACCCGTTTTCGTCGTTTATGTATCCAGTCAATGGGGCAGAACTAGACCACCATCAGGGATGACACAAATATTTGTACATATCGGTATGAGTTGGGGTTTCTCTACCTTGAATATGTTTAAATAGTTGCTGACATTAATAATTTATGGGCTATAGGATAATGTTCTGACTAAAGGGTGGTATGACATTATTCTTCATGTTTCTGTCCTGTGTGGGCATTTACGTAATCCTTCTCCAGCCCTAACGGCTGGTGAAGTCAAAACAGATAGTAAGAAGCTGGCCAGTTTAGTGTTGAACACAGACACATTATATCAAATAAAGACTTGTTTTCACTTGTACTGTCCTGTTCTTCATTTGCTATCTGTGTTCAGCATTACATTTCCTAAACCTGTACATTTGTGGAAACATGTAAAATAATTCTATAGATATCAATATTCCTCTTATTGGTTGATACGTTAGCACAATCTGTTGTTGATGTGTTAGCTTAACAGTAGATAACATGGTCTAGAGCAGCGGGAGAAACCCATACAGACCAAGGAGTTAATTTCAACAGTTATTTATTTTCTGAGTTCTATAAAGTGTTGGTTATGGTGAAGATACACACTTTACTGAGTAATCTGCAATCTGATGATTTGGCAGAATGAGTAATACAAGACTATCAAGTGTATATTTGCAAAGTTTGATAATCCCAATTACACTGATTGAGAAATACACCTGCCATACATCATAATCAGATATTGTACAACAGAGTAAAAGATGATAGGTTGATTGAAGAACTTGCACATGTGTGGCCAAGAAACATAGGTCTTGGTGTATATAATGCACCTCTACCCCTAGTACACATGTGTCACAGTGTCTACAGGAATATGTGGAGTAGTTTAGGCTTGCATTAGTTGACGTGCATAAATTTGAACATTGGCATCTGTGTAAGATTGCCAAATGACAGAATAAATGTTATAAAAAGATAGAGAAGGTGTGGTATTCGTGTCAAGTGCCTTAACCATTAGGCCATGCCAGACTCTGTGTGCTCTACTCTGATGGAAAGGCAGGCTAAACTAACAAAGAGATTTTGATTCTTAATTGTATAGAATAGCTCTGGATGTTACTGGTCTCCTCTGAATGACTGAATGGGGTTTTCTGTATGTGCTTGGGAAAAGTTTAACAATCTGCAGGTCACGGGTTTTAAATCAGATCACTGAACATGCTTGTTCTTTTTGCTATGGAGGCATTATAATGTAGTGGTCAATCCCACTATTTGATTAGAGTAGCTCAAAAGTTGGTGGTGGGTGATGCTGACTAGTTTTCCTTTCTTCTAGTCTTTCCCTTTTAAGTGAGGGATGACTAGCACAGATAGTCCTCGAATAGTTTTGCGCGAAATTCAACAGACAGAATACATAGTACAGTGTTTACACCATGATTCAACTCTTGACAAAAATGTGGCTAAAAATAAAACACACTTTTGCCTGTTAACATATGCATAGAAAAATCTTCGAAGTCCTTGAATTATGCAAAATCTGAAGTATCTTCTACCAGAAAGCTCTAGTAACTACTAGCTGCATTAGAGATTGAGAACCGCCCTCCCCAGTGGTACAGTGATATGTCTTTGGACTTACAACAGTAGGAACTGGGTTTCGATACCCATGGTGGGCAGAGCACAAATAACCCATTGTGTAGCTTAATGCTTAAATTAAAAAAAAAGATTGAGAACCGTAGTTCATAGCAATAGTACAAAACACGTACTTGCACTTAAGTATGCTTTTAAAATTGTACCCCTATTGTGTATGTAGCTATATACCATGCTTTTTGTGTTTGCTATGGAAAACTTTTTCTCTGTCCCATCAATTAGCACACACAGGCACATCTTGTCTGTCATTTGCTTATCAGATACTAGACTGGTTCTCATTGCTACACTACTGCACCCAGAGTCTCATAGGACTTTCCCTTTCTTGTCCCAGACATAGCCTTCACCTACTGGTATATTGTAATTTGTTGACACATTTAGTTATCTGTAACATGCTCTGGTCAGTACTGGCACTATTGATCAATTTGTTAACTTGAGTCGACCATTAGTCGTGTCCTGATCAATCATGAAAATGGCACTTCCTTTTTATGGCGAATCTGATGTGTTTCTTTGATTCTGTTTCTTCTAGCAGCCGTATATCGATGGTGACGGTAATTTTTTCTTGTTTCTTACCAACACCATCTTTGTAGGTAGCACTAGCTGCTTTATGTTGATATTTCTGCTGTTACTTGCTGGTAATGGACCTGCACCCCTTTGCAATGTGCCCTATTTTGTAACAAATACAGCATCTTTTCTCCCTTCTGTCTATTAACCTCCTGTCATCTTTGGTAGACTCCTACTCCTGGTCAGCCACTACTGGTTTCGATTCTAACTGGATATTTTTGGACTTGCCCATTCTATTCCTTCCATGGGCTTCCATATACTGTTCTGCCAGCTTGGTCATCTCCACCTCGTGTTTTGGTGCTCTCTCCCTGAACACGTGGTCATGAACTATTCACGTATTAAAATAGATCTGTCAGTCCCTCAAAACTGTTGTCACACTTGGCCATGTCAGTCCATCTTGTGAAGTATCACCGTAGACGTGCCACAAACAGAAATACAGTTTCTCCAGTGTCACGTTTGACTTATCTGAGATTTCGTCGAAACCTTCCTCAGTAAGCTCATAGCGTTTCAGCAAGGCCACTTTAACTTGTCATAGTCAAATATACTTATATATCTATATTTTTGAGTCACATTAAAAGATAATTCTGACTAAAAACAGTTTTCAACGATAAGATAAACATTTCATTTAATCTCTTAGTGTAGCTTTAATAATGTTTGCTGCTTTTTGCAACCTTTTCTCAAATCTTTTCCTGGTTCAAAGTATATAGTTTAATTTTTAGGACATACTGTTACGACAGCGGAAGTCACGCGACGTTGGGAGCATGCATGCTGGAGTTTCTAGAAAGATCGTGACTTATCGGGG